TTTGGAGGCTGTCCTGGAACTAGCTCTTGTAGACCAGGCTGGTCTTAACCTCCCAGAGAACTATCTGCCTGCCTCTGCCTCCCGAGTGCTGGGGTTAAAGGCATATGCCACCACCGCCCTGCTGTATCTGGCTTTTTGATTCAAAATATGTATCATGACCTTGGGCTTAATGCCAATTCTGGGTTTCACAAAAAGCTTGCATGAAACCCATTTTTCACTTTTAAAAGGGAGCTCTTTCCTGGGAATCCATTTCTCCCTAGTTCTCTTGAGGAAGGGTGACATTGTGCAAGGCTTGTGATGATCCCCTATATTGTTCCTCTTGCCATTTTCCAGGGACTGGCCAATAACCATCATAGTAGAACAGGCCATGGGTAGAGGGGAGACAGAGGAGATCAGCCTGTGAGAAAGCACTGGGGTGACCATGACAGTTGGTGTGACAATGTTCCCTGGTGCTTCCTTGGCCTCCGGCCTCGGTCAGCTTGCTCTGTGGTTTGTGGCGTGGGGCAGACCTCTACCTGCTCCTGTCTTCATCTCTACTGGATACCTTGGCTTCATCTTTGCCCGCCAATCTGTCTCATTTGCTCATACTAACATATTTGTTCTTCTTCTCTCATATCCCCTAGAAAGTGAGCAGGAGCAATCCCTGTGGCCTCTGCCATTATTGCTTTGAAGACAGATTTTTCCAGCTCAGTCTCTCTGGATGCCACAGCCTGGTGCACCCTCCTTCCAGGTCCCCATACTCACCCTTCTCCCTTACCTAACCCCCTGCAGCAGTTTCCAGCATGTTTGTCAGTGGGGATCTGTGAAGAACATTCTAGAGGCATGACACTAGGCTGATAATTTAATGGAGAGGGAAGTCCAGATGGAAGTGAGGTGAGAAGGGCTCTGGGAGTCCATGAACACAATCTGCTCTGGAAGAGAAAGGAGCTAATCTGGGTCCAGACAAAAGGTATGCGGCCCAGAGTGCTTTCCTGCTCTCACTCAGGTCCCTAACCAGCATCTTGGCCAACCTTCCAGGCCCAAACTCGTCTCCTTGGACCTGGGCTTCAATGACTTGACAGACCTGCAGAGCATGATAACAGGTCTCAGCACCTTGCGGCAACTGAGGCTGCTGATACTGCAGGGGAACCCACTGGCCCTGGTGCCTTACTACCGAGGCTTTACTGTGGACAGCCTGGCACACCTCTGTGTGCTGGACGACGTCATCGTGTCTCCCAGCGAGAAGCACCAGTTCCGGGGACTCAGCGTTCATGGTGGTAGGTGCATCACACATCCTGGCCTCTGCTTTGCCTGCAGCTCTCCATTTGACCCTGACCCTGGTCAGGTACATTAAGTACCTCACTTGGGCTTTCTCTGTGTGAGATGATGTGGTTGGGACTTGGGGCCAGCTCTGTTCTTCCTGGCTCTTGTTTCTGTGGTGGCCAGACATCACCCCCTTGTGGCTCCTGACACAAGGTGCATCAGAGCCCTTTGTCATCCCGGTGGTGTGATGGTGGCAGTAGTACCTACAGTCACAGGTATCAGCTGAGGTAGCTGGTGTTCTCCACCTCTCCATCTCTCAGAACTGTCTCTGCTGAGCACCTCTTGGCACCCCATTTGGCAAATAGGCAAATAAGGTTTATCCCTACCTCACTCCCATTGAACTTGGCGGAGATGCCACTCTAAATCTGGGGGGTGGGGAGGTTGCCAGACTTATGCCTCTAACTCTGGGGGGTGGGGAGGTCGCCAGGCATATGCCTTTGCTTTCCCTAACCCAGCCCCAGTCTCTCAGCCTTGCTGTTACTTCTTGCAGACCTGTTGGCACATGAGGCACAGTTTGTGGTAACCATTGGAAATGTCAGGGGGGCTATGGACTCCTCTGTCTTGGACCCAGAGCCAGGACCTGAGGGCCCTTTCATCAGCTACAGCTATTATGTGACCTATGACTTTGTGGAAGATGAAGACAATGAAGGGAATGCGTTCCGCAACAGGATGAGGGAGACACAACCTGAAAGTGATCTGGCTGAGGTGTGTCCCGCCTATCTAGGGCCTTCAGGCTTTTGTGTGCACACAGAACAGCTTTTTAGGGCCCCCCAAAAAATCTTCCACACAGAATCACATCCCCCTCCATGCAGGGTCCTGGTTTCAGCCTGATAGCCCCTCTCCCAGGCAGGGTGAGTCTCAGCCATGCTCATGTCCTGTCCCTGTGACACCTGAGGAAGCAGAGCAAAATTTTACCCTCATGCCAGTTGTCCCTGGTCCCACTCTGGAATTTTCACAATGTCTCCTGCCCGACCTCTGCATCTCAGGCAAACCCAAGAACACCACAGGGGCAGAGAAGTGTGTCATCTTTGTCCCCATGGCCTTTGTTTCTGCCTCCTAAGTTTGTGTGTCGGGTCATGCTTTTAGTTTGTGAAGGGCTGGGGTGTGGCTCAGCCTGCATGAGACCTTGCACTCCATCTCCGGCACCACATTTGCTGATGTCAACGGACACTCACAGGAATAATAGTCTGAGGTGTGTTTGTCCTTGCCAGCAGATTGCCCAGCCCGCCTCCAGCATGGAGCAGTTAGATGAGGAGGTTCATGAGGAGGACCAACAGGATCTGTTGGAGGACCATCCAGGGACCCAGCACGGACAGTCTCGCCTGACCCGCCGTGGTGTCCGCCAGGGGATTCCAGAGTCTCCCGAGGGCATGTCCAAGGAGATGGCTGAGTTTTTAGCTGAGGAGATGGACGAGGAGTCTGGGATAGAGTCTGGGATAACAGATATGGAGGAGTCAGAGACAACCATTTCCATCCACTCGGAGCCCCTGCCACAATCGATTAGCTCTTCAGAAGAACTGTCCAAGCTGCGGCCACGCATTGATACACGACTCTGTCCATCCCCAGGGTAGGAGGAGAAGGCAAGGTGGCTGGGGGTAGGCGGAGCATCCGTGGTTGCCACAGCCAGAGCTGCCCTTGCAGCTGAGCCACAAAGAGCCACCAAGGCTGTCTTCTCATTAGTTAGCCTGTAGCTGTGAGCTAGTGGTAGCTTTGGGCTTAGTCCAGACCCTTTTCTGGAGCCCTAACTTCCCACTCAGTACAACTAGCTCCAGGCACCTGAGGGTAGAGGACAAAACTCTCCAAAAGATTGACTCTCCTGTCAATACAGCTTCCATCTCAGCTATTGGAATCTGATTCTTACAGCCATTAATTTTAAAAAACAAAAGACCCCAAATCAAACATGCTTATTTTCTTTATATGTGTGTTTTTCCTGAACAAACATGAGTGTACTGCCTATGCGTCTGTTGCCGGAGGAGTCCAGAAGGTTCAGGATCCTCTGGAACTGGAATTATAGCTGGTTGTAAACTGCCATGTGCATGCTGGGAACTGAACCTGGGTCTTCTATAAGCAGCAGCTGGCAATCTCTGAGCTATGTCTCCAACTCCTTTTAGCTTTTCAATCCATCTGGGATGTGTTCATATAAAATGTAGCAAGGCACTCGCTTCAAGGCAATAGGTTCTTTGTTTTGTTTGCAGTACTAGAGGCTGAAGCAATGAGCCTAACCTCCTGGACAAGTGTTCTATGGCAGAGCCCCAGCCCTTGTTTTACTCTGTGCTTAGATACGAACACTCACTAAGTTTCCTAGGCCAACCTTGAACTTGGGGTCCTCGCTGAGTAGCTCAAATTCCAGGTACCACCAGGCCTAACAACCATGTTTTTGTTGCCTAGTCAACCCAATTTTCATGCATGAGCATGTGTAAACACACACACACACACACACACACACACATGAGCATGTACACGCACGCACGCACGCACGCACGCACGCACGCACGCACGCACG